ATGACTGGAAACATCTGTGGGTCATCTGTTGGCTAGCCATGCAAAGCCGTGTCGGTTGTTAGTATTTATGAGAAGCAAGTTAATTGTATCGCTCACAACACTAAAGAATACATTCACATGTTTGTTAGAAATTTCTTTGAAGCAAAATAAGTACCTATCTAACGTGAGTACTCTATTCACATTGAGTATATAGTGTTTATCAACGATATGAAGTACACATTTTTTATGTGAAACATCTATAGCAGCACGTGAAACCGAATGCAGGCGTGGCGATGCACGCCCTAGCGACTGACGCCCTGGCGACTGACGCCGTGACGCAAGCGACTGGTTCGGCGTTACGCTATCTTTCTCGCTCGAATAGCTATATTATATACAGTTGTGTTTACTACAGCATACATAACCTGTGTATTACAAAATAAACAAATTTTAAAAAAAACTATGTCTGACAGTGATAATTTAGAAAGTTAAAGTTAGCAGCCTCCTGCAAATGGGCTTGTTTCATGATTTTAAGTTTATAGTTAACTTGAAAAACAGTGTACTTTGTTTCATCTCTCTAAGTACCGTAGTTTTCCCGTAATTATTTATTAGGGTGGTAGGGTGGTGACGTCACACCCCTATTCCCGCTTCTTGTTTGACTGGCCAATAGGAACAGTAGAAATAATCAACATTGCCAAATCATAAAATTTACGAAGCCTATAATTATCAATTCAATTATGGAAGTGTATATGACACTGTTAAATCCACTCTCTTCGAAGCATGTATCCATTTCTTACATCTAACCTCATTAATATGAGGTTTTATAAATGGTATAAAAATACGTTTTCTTCCGGATATCGATTATCCGACGTACAATTCGCAAAACAACAATGCCTTGTTGGTATTATACTAACACAAAATGATTGTTTAAATCAGATTTATATTTGTAAATAATGAATTAATATTACGTAAATAAGACTGTTTAACATGTGAATAGTTTATTGTTTGTCCCTACTACTAGTGCTGCCTCTCGTGACACGTTCGCTGTACTATTCTCAGGAAAAAGTCTCATTGAAAACTAGAGTCCAACTAAAGTTTCGACGCGCCAGGTGTCTCATTGATGATGGTTCAGCCTAACACCACTGATGAGACATATGACCAGTCAAAACAGCGCTCTCTAGTGTTGGATCATGAATATGTTGTGTTTGGCTTTAGTTCAACTAGCTGCCTTGCAGTCAAAAATGCAGAGAAAAACAGAGAACGAATCTCGTCAACGGTCAATGTTGAAGCTTAGCTTTGCACTCAACCCCCTTGGGGAGCGTCGTTCGTCTTCGATATTCAAGGATTGAACTCTGTGTCGACAATATAGATGGCGTCTCTATTAGGGTAGATGTCACCGCCCTTACTTAGATTTATCCTTCAAGAACAGTTGAGTCCAGCAATGCTTTTGTGTCAAATCCCAAACCAGGCGATGAAAGCCCTAGCCAGGAAGGGTATAGCGGCAATGAAGCCACGGTAATTTTGATTCCGAAGCCTAACAAGAACCCCACTTTTCCCGATAATCATCACAAAATAAGCTTGAACACATCGGTGAGCGAGGTGGCAGAACACGTCGTACTGAAAAGACATATGAGGACTAGTCAGACAAACTAAGAATCCTACCGGTCTGATTCAGGTCAGAACACTCTACAAAACTTCAAGTTAACTACGCAATGAAGATTCCAACCTGGGCAAAGGTAGCCACACTGAAACAAAATTCCTAGATATCTCCAAAGCTTTCTATAGAGTCTGGCACAACGTACTCGTGGTCCAAATGACAACTTTTGACTAATCGAGTCTTTTCTAAATATTACTGGAGTTTTTTTCCCAACACTAAATCGTTATTTTTAACACCTCGACACGTGTTTCGATCACCAAGTGATCATCTTCAAAGAGGGAGATTACAACTAGGAACTAGTGCGAGCACCAGTTCCTAGTTTTAATCTTCCTCTTTGAAGATGATCACTTGGTTTCTCTTACTGATTTGTGTATGAAACAAAATTGGTTCCAGGTAGAAGGTTGCTTTTATGAACAACAGGAAGGAACGGCCATGGGAAACCCCTTGTCCCCCTACCTGGCAGACCTGTTNGCAGTTGAAAATAACGATTTGGTGTTGGGAAAAAACTCTAGTAATATTCATTACTACACCAAAGGTTCCAAACAGTGCATCATGAGTCTTTTCTAGCTAACCGGTGATGTCAATGCAGAGTAGGACAAGAACTCTCCACCAGGCGACTTCTGGAATCAGGAGTCAAACAAGGCGCAGTTCTATCCCCCCACCTCGGTGTATACAATAGACGTGCCCAAGCCAGAGACCAACTTCAACAAGTTGGCACTCTACGCGGATGACACAGCTTCACTGGCAAAATCCACTTACCACGCGTTAGTTACAGGTTACCTGCAACAACGAGCGGACAGACTAGAATAGTGGGTCAACCTCCGGAAGATTAGTAACAACTCTGATAAGAGTCAGGCGATACTATTCACCTGGAGGAAGGTACATCCGGAAGGATACGTTGTCTTCCACGGATATGAGATTCCGTGGACAAACGAAGCAAGATACCTCGGGTTCAGCTTCGACAGGGAATTAACATTCAGGTCCCATATCCAACAGAGGTTAGGACTGGCGAAGACCAATCGGCACAACCTCTACCCCATCATCAAACGCAGTAACTGTGCTCTTAATCAAGACCATCTTATTTCCCATTATCCTATATGCCTTCATTTTTTGGAGCCAGTGCGCAGAAACATATAAACGCCAAATCGAAACGTTTATGAACACCTGCTTGCGGACGACCGTAAACGCTCCCAGATAAATACCCAACCGATTCATCTACCGGGACCTAGATCTTGGCATGCACCAAAAACATCTTCGAGCGTAGGTTCCGCGAGAGGGACAAGCACAAACAGAGGCCACAACAGTCGAGTTAGGTACAGAAAACCACCATGCGCTCACTATACACACATACACAAAGTAGAATCAGTTTTGAGTCAGATAAAGGAGTAAATGCACTAAAGGCTGACTTCCGTTTGAAAGAATCCGATTTCAATGTGTTCTGTTTCTATATGCTTCTTCACATAGAAACAGTGCGGGGAAGATTTTATCTCAAAACACTTGATCCCGGGAGGGCATGATTCATGTTTGTAGTTACTGATGGGACCTCTGACGGGTCGAAACAGCGCTGTCTGGTGGTGGATCATGAATTTGTCATTGCGGGCCCCAGTTTCCAACTAGTTACCTAACACTTACACTTTAGTGAAATATAGAGGACGAATCTCATTTGGCGGTCGTTGTCTCGAAGCATGGCTTTGCAACAGATCACTAGGGGCTCATTTATCTTTGATATTCGTTTATTAAGTTTTATATAGCCTGGTAGCCTGATGGGTTGACGTAGGTCGTTTGTTCCACTCATTCAATTCACCGTTGTGTGAAACGGTAGTTCGAACCGCAAGGCCAGACAATCGATTTTCACTTCCTATCGTCCAACCCGTGTTAGGAATCACACGTGGAAAAGGCCTTAACTCGCATAAGTTTCAGTTTTTGGGAGTTATTCTTAGAGGGACGGTGACTGGTTAACGGAAAAACATATTTTAACAAATTTCAATATGTCGATACACTTGACGGCATCTTCCTAGAAGAAAATGTCTTCCCCTTTATTATCTCCTCTCTTCTACAGGGAACTTATCTCCTCCATGACGAAACGTCTTCCTCCTTCCACCTCGTTACTCGTAGACGAAGCTAACAACGTCACTAGAGATTTACAGTTTTGTTTATGTTCATTTAAATGAGTACAATTAGGTTAACGTTTCCTATGGAAGATGGCGCCACTATGCCCTTTCCATATGCAGTGCATTTCTTTTTTTGAACGGGTCAACTCAAAAAATTTAAATTTAGGATAATGAAATTAATGCATGAATACTTTATTTTGAAGTGAAATTGACAGATGAAACTTTCAATATGGCGACTGGGCGCCATCTGGAAAAAAATTAAATTGAAAAGGGGGTCTTGTGACATTTTGAAGCTCCTGTCAAATGCTTCGTAACCCTAGAATATAATGTCAATATCTTCAACTACTACAAAATGGCGGAACTTTTAATAATTGCCTGAATAAAATTCAAACAAATAAATTGTTAGTTGAATAAATTGAGGAATGAATATATTTGTGACAATAAAATTTAAACGGCGTTCCATAAAGATCGTAACAATTACAAATAAAACATATAAAACATACATAAAACATTAAAAAAGGCAAAAAAACGCAAAAATTTAAATAAAAAAATATTTTATCTTAATCTTCGGAGGATGAATCTTCGCTAAGGTCTGAACTGATGTAATCTGGTTCAGTGTCACTATCTTCTTGCAAGTTGATTATCATGTCGTCTACCATGAAATCTAATGTTGCTTCCTTTTCCATGAAAAACTATTCAAAACTTTGAGCATTGGGAGTTATTGTAATTCTTGTGTGCATTGAGCATTCATACTCACGATAAAACAATCGTGGGTCAAAACACACATCGTTTTTCCATTCAGTTTCAGAAAACGTACTAAAAATTTCATCACATAATCTTTCCACAGTCGTCAAGTTAAAATCTACATTTCTTTATGCAACATATTGCTTTAAAGACGCCCACAGTAACTCTATAGGATTTAAGTCAGGGTGGTATGGAGGAAGCCTTAGGACGGTATGCCCGTGGGCGCTTATAATTTCATCAATTTTATACATTTTATATCGCAGTTTATGAATTTTAATTAGACTATACAAATCAATGTTTAACTGATCTTCCGTAAAAGGTATATTTCGTTGTCTTAGCCATTCCATCATTTCGATCTTTCTATTACATAAAGTAGGAGACTTATATTTACCTGCACATTGTGATATGGAGCATTGTCTATCACTAAGACACTCTTTGGTAGTGAATGAAGAATGAGTATCTCCTATAGCCATTTTATATAATTCATGAAGTTATCTCGTTATGATAATCACCTGACTTCATATTTGATCTGAATNTGCAGTCAGCAGCTGATATACTATGGTGCAACGGTCCAGATTTGAGATTCGTATTCAGCAGTGCTGTTACAATACCTGCTTTCGAGAGACCAAGCCATATACCTGGATATTCGGGTCTATTATCGAGTAAAAAAGCAACATTGTCACCTTTTTTGTAGCCACAAGCTATGAAATAGTTTGCCACTTTATTGCTGAAATCTTCTAGCTGAGGAATTCAATGAAGTGTCAGTTAATCAAATGAATCTAGGTACAATACTGCAATAATTTTATAACACCTATTTAGAAAATGCTTTTGATAGGCGTATGGACATNCGCCCGTATTTGCGGGCGTAAAATAGCACTTAGGGCCTGCGGACTACTTTATCGCCCGGCAAGCGGTAAAATCGTTGAGCCGACGCTAAAGTGAATTTCATTCTTAAATCGATAGAAATGCAAAATTATTGAAACATATCTGAATTATACAGGAGTGCACATAACGAGTCGAGAATCCATCAACCACCATCATCAGACTGTCAATATATCTATTGTACTTATAAGTCATGTACATTTAAAGTAGCTTTCAGCATGGAATAATATGAGGGCTTATGATATTCAGATTTCTCCAGAAAATAGGCAAAAAGTACTCTCTCTGTCTAGTTCTTATTTTTTACATTATTCCCTTTGCACCACCTCACGAATTCTTTTTACATTGTGTCGTATACTTTCTTGGATTTACTTCTCAATAGATACTTTGCTGAAGTGTAAACGTAGAAGTTAACCTTGAAAAGTTATTGCGTAATACATAGCACTGAAGAACTAATCAGTCAGTAATTTGTATTGACAAATATTGCCTGCAAATTGAATCATTTGTTTCTCTTTTACATCTCAGCAAAAATTGTGCATAAGACGAATTTGTGATTCAGCACCGTACAGCCCTGTTTCGAACCGCCAGTTGTGCAAGGCTGAACTACTGAACTGTGCTAGAAAGAACAAAACTGAAAGTAAAGGAGTTGATATTTCTCCTGATGAGAACTTGACAGGTCAAAACAACGCTGTTGGATCAGAAGTTCATCTAGTTGCCATGTAGTGAAAGCTGCAGTCAAAATGAGAAGACGAATCTCGTTCGGCGATCGCTGTCGAAGCTTGGCTTTGCAATTGACCGCCTTGAGAAGTCTCGTTTATCCTTGACATTCAAAAATTGATGGCGTCTTCGTTCGGGGAGATTTCAATTTTTTTTCCGAAAGCTTGTGATAATTCTCTTTCCATATCTGTTTCAATATCACTTTCATCATTCAAATCAATAATGAATTTATTTCCACCATTAATATGGAAGTGTCCAATCTCAATATAGTATTTTTCAGCTAAAATTACTTTTTCAATCCTTTTTTGCCAGTCTTCTTCGATAATATTAGATACTTCTCCGTTAATTAACTCTATCACCTTCTTACCAAATTTTGTTTGCAGGCATGGTAGGTGTACATATTCTCGAACCATCAGTCCACCCTTTCGTAACTGTGTCGTGAGTGTCATACCAAGTTTCGTCCAAATAGAAAATTTGCCGTTGTTCTTGTCTATATTTAGTTATTCAATCTTAGTATTTGTTTAGCAATTCCACTATTCTTCTGCTTTCCATATCTGCTTGAAATTTGTTTATTATTTTAAATCTCAATCCTAGTTTCTTTATCCAATATTGAAGAGTTTTGTACAGCAGCTCATGTTATGGCCGGAAGTATTCAATTTCATCATTATGATTTCAGTTGTAGGAATCTCATTGCTTTTGTAACAGTCGTATATTGTTTTTTTCAATGATTTTATCAGATAAACATCTGAATGTTTTGGTAATCCTGTATCACATCACGTCTTGCGTTCATAAGCTTTGTTTTTGACTATTTTACGTACAGTTGAGAAAGGAATTTCGGTCAAATCTTATGTTGCTTGTAATAGTTTGTTTCCCTCGAAACCAAACTTTAGATGTAGATTCTTATTAACCTATACTCCGACACTCTGTGAGAGTGCCGACAACTTTAAGTATGCAAAATATCGTTTACTTCGACTATACCTCTCAGAGCCAGTTCCGTTTCTATACCTAAATATTCTATGGTCGTAGAAGTAATACATGGTTTTATGTTTGAAGGTTAGATATGGTTTTATGTAGCAGCGCTTCGGTTCAATTGGAATTCGTAGAGAAAAATTTGCCGAAAATTGGTTAACATCATATAGTGATAAGATGAAAAGCGGTAAAAAAAAAATGAAATTTGGAGAAAATGAACAGCATCGATGTATAGGTTACAACATTCTCTATCAATCAGTATATTCCGAATAGTATGGAGCCACAAAAACACATGATATTAAAACGGACAAAATTTTTGAAACAATCTGATAATACGAAAACCTACACTGATTATGGAAGTTGATTGTTTGCTCAGATGTATATAAAAACTCTCTGTTGGTTTCAGTAATTTCCTGATGATACTAACTTGCTTACTGAAACGAACGTTGAGAAAACAATATTTTTGTTCTGGAGTGGAATTGATTCAATTGATGAGTTCAATTGATGAGATTTTCCATGTTCAACTAATAATGAATTCATGTTTTTTATGGATGGGTTGTAAAATTCACATTTGGGGAGCATGTTATAATTCAAAGAATTCATTTACTTACCTGCTGAAATGTCCACGCTTCGTCTTCATAATATAGGGCTACTTTGTTAGGGTGTTTCTTTGCCACTCTTGTGAAGATCTTCGGCACAGTATCTTTATTTATTCTCATCCACATAAGAGTGTAAACACCTCTTGCACCTCGGTATACTGCTCTTAAAAATCCGATCCAAAAAT